GGGGGGGAGGTGAAGGGGGTAATGTGATTGATGTGATGTGATTGATTGATCATGTGCCTACCTAGTTGTGTCTCAGTTTTTCTTTCAAAGGTTGTCTCGGGGGTTTTCACCCTTGGGGCCGGGGGTCCTTGGTCTTGTGATGTCCTGTACCTGATCTACCTAGGTTGGATGGGACGTGAGTACCAGTACCTTTTTTTTTTTGTTTTCAGCTGGTAGAAGGGAGTTTGTATAGATGGTGGAAATACATCTCACATTACGGTAAAATTCATGATCCAACTTCTTTTTTGGGGGGTTGGGTTAGGGAGGAGTAGGGAGTAATCGGGTGGGAGTTGGAGTCATAGGGGTTTGTCTGGGAGACGGGGAGGGGATGTAGGGTAGGGTATAGGTATAGGTATAGGTATAAGAGAAAGGAGGTAGGTAGAGTAGGTGGTTGTGAAGGTATATATGTATGCTTCTTCGCCTTCTTCTCTTTTTAGGGTAATCTTACTTAAGTACTTAGGTAATATTCCTCTGATATCTAGTTGGGTAGTGTAGTGTAGGGTAGGTAAGGATGAAGGGTTTTCGTGGGTAGTATACTAGACTTTTTTAAGGAGGAAGGAGGGAAGAAAGGGGATCTATGGTGTAGTCTTTGGGGTCTGATTGTTATTGATGTGAGATGTGAGATATTAGATATTGGGGGTGGAAGCGTGGGTTCCTTTTCCTTTTCCTCTTCTTCTTCTTCTTCTTTTGTGTATACGGGTTGGTTTGTGGATTTGTTCTAGATTATTCTCTTCTCGGTGGTTTAGATTTCTTCTAGATTGTTTTTAATGGGTTTGGAGTGTAGGATTGAGGAGCTTATCGTAAGATTTATACCCCATGTCTTATGAGATGAAGGCTAGGTTAAGGGCTAAGTTAATTAGTATATGGTGGCTTATTTACAGGCGTGAGTAAACTGAAATGACGAGGAAATAAGCATCAAGAACCTTGGAAGGCTGGGAAAAAAAGGCTTATCATACAGTAGATCCCCTCGTGGAGGGTGATGGGAGGAGTGGGGAAGTGGTGGTAGTGTAGTGTTGGTAGTGTTGGTGGCTTGCTTGTTTACGAGTACAAGGATGTTTGTTATTCATCCCTTTCTTTTCCTTATCATTTCCTAAGGTTTCAACAGCCAACAGACCATCCCAACATAAACAAAATACAGACCACCCCTCTCGCAAATAACGTCATAACATTCTCATTACTGTATCATGGGATCCTTATCCGAGTTCATTCACATGATGCGAAAGAGGGGAGGGGAGGGTACAGTATCACACCACGTGGGGGACGGGAACTTATCTCCCTCAAACTTTTAGTAAGCTGAGTCTTAATGAGCGAAAATGAGGAGGGGGTCGTAGTTTGTAGGTACATAAATGTAGATGCGATGAGGTATTAATATATACACACATACAGACGGTACATAAACTCTTATATACATCCATATCAAGCAATTTGCCAAGGTGTCATTTAGTAAGATATACCTGGCTCGGAACTATTCCTCTTCCTCTTCCTCTTACCAAGAGTTTTAGAGCGACTTGATAGGATACTTCTCGATCCTTCTCTTTCCATCCTTGAGCTTGGCTTTGACCTCGTTATCCAATTCAGGGGGTTATTTATTGAGATTCTTGGGATCTTTAGGTGTTGGTACATAAGGATACCAGCTGAAAAGATGAATATTGAGAAGAAGAAAGAATATGGTACGAGGGCGATGGAGGAGCGGATTAAGGCTTTACGGAATGGGAAGAGGGATGGGGAGAGGGATGGGGAGAGGGATGGGGAGAGGGATGGGGAGAGGGAGGTGGAGGGGTATGTTGGTGATGAGAGGGGTAGGGGGTATTTGGAGGGGAATAGGTATGTTGTGTTCTCTTCCTTTTCTCTGGGATTTGTTGTGGGCTTTTTCTTATCCCTTCCAGACCACAGCGTGGCTAAATCTCCTTTTTTTTCCCTTCTCGAACTTATAGCGGACTATCTTCTTCTCGTAGTGTCGATTCGCTTCTCGTTGCTGGTTTTATGAAATGGATCTTGCTTCTTGTTTTCCTTGGTATCTAAGGATTGTATTTCTATATATACGCAATCAGAGGGATGATAAGAAAGCTTTGGGATTAGGTTGGAGTACTCATCTAATACGGGTCTATATAGGAAATGGACACAATCGAAAGACTATCAAATCCCTATTACATTCTCGGAAATGCACGAGAAGGGGAGAGAAAATGAGGAGGGGAGTGTGATTGTTTGTAAGTCCACTTTTTAATTTCTCCATTCTTCTTTCGCGCAAGTTTCAAGGTAGATCTAATTTAATGCGGTCGAGCTGGGGTGCAATTGTGTTGAAATAGAGACGAGCTTCACAATCCTATGAATCTCTCGGAAACATATGCCAAATCCCCATCCCATTCCTCTCTACCTTCTCATACTCAACGAACCCCCCGATCTTCGAAAGACTCCCCAACCGAAGCGAACTAGCAACCCCCCC